TTGTTATAGGGCTAGGGTTGCTCAGACATTGTCCATTTGAGTTTTATGTCAAATCTAACTATTACCTGTATTTTTATTTACTTAAAATTTGTCTTTAAAAAGGAGAGTAAAATAGTGATCTCAGAGGATAGGAGGGGAAGGGGAGAGAGAATAGAAAGATGTTGGATAACAAGTATCAAAATACAGTTAAAAAGGAGGAGTAAGTTTCAGTGTTCCATAGCAGAGAAAGGTTAAGTACAACCGTTTCTTGTATATTTCAAAATAGCTAAATAGCTATACCCAACACAAAGAAATGATAAATGTTTGAGGTGACAGAAATGTTAACTACCCTGATTTGATTATGATCTATTATATATTGAAACATCATACTGAACAGGATAAACAAGTATAATTACTGTGTCAATCAAAATGTTTTTCAAAAAAGGAAAAAAATCATCAAATAAAATTTAAGCTGGCTTACTTTTTAAAACTTATCCACATATAGGTAATCATAAGCTTGACTATACTAGTTTTATCCACTTATTCTAATAAATTTTAAAAGAAATACACAGTACATAAAACAAAATAAAGTAAAATTGCCACAAATACCATCTAGAATTTTCATATCCTGAGTGGTATGAATACTAAACTTGGTGAAAAGACAAAGTAACTTATGAAAACGAAGTCATAAACACACTGGTCGAGAATAAAAGAATTTGGGTTTAAAGGAACCTAATTCCATTGCATTTATTAAGACAGGCAATCATCAACTGTTATATCCATTATTCTTTCATTATCCAAGAACTGATTCAATACATTATTTTAAAAAGGGTACAATAGGACTAACAGTCAATGAGTAGAGTTTTTGTTTTACATCTGAATTTGCATAAATCCCACTCTCATCATGCCAAGTGTGGATGCCAAATCTTTTGGAACCATCTAGGTCTGTGAACTGTGAACGGCATTTTCTGTGGACTATTGAGTAATCATCTTGACAGAGAGGAATCTATGAGAAAAAGAGAAATAACATTGAATGTCTAAAATATGTAAAGACAAAAGATCTCCAAAAGTTGATCTTAATATATTATTCTTATAACCAAAAGTAAATTTTTAACAATTAATAAATTTATTCTCTCAACACATGACTCCAGCAAATGACTATTGCCTTTATAAGAAGTTCAAAATCAGAAAGAAAAATTCAGTTTATATTTTTTATAAAAGTAAAAAAGGTAAATTGTAATGCAAGTAAATTTTTTCTAAATTCTGAGTACATGGCATAAAAAGCAATTGAAGTTTTATGATCATCCAAATGAAACCAAACATTAAAATTTAACTACCATTCAACACGTTTCATTGTTGTTATTGTTGTTAGTATATGTATTACCATTTCAAAGAACATCATCTTGGGTTGCATCTTTAATAATCGCTACCAAGTCAGACTTCCCACAATGGTAAATGCCACAGTCTAGATTCATTCCTATGAGAAATTGACCTCAACATCACCCAGTATAGTGTAAGATGTTTTTCCTTAGGCGACTTCATAAAAGCTTCACTGTAATAAAACAAGACATTATCATTGACCATTTCTAAAGGAAATATTGATTCTTTCGTAGTCCACCGGCATGATGGTGGACGTGGAACATAAAGCCTTTTAACTGATTATCTAATTTCTGCTTTAAATTGGCTCTAATTTTAAAGCACGAGGACAATATTGAAATTAAATTGCCAAAGCTATAAAACAATGAATAACACCAAAAAGTAGTTCCAATCTTAAGATCGGTTTTCTTGAAAATTGAAAATTTTAACCATATGTTTAACCATAATAGTGTCCATTTATCAATTGAGTGCCTGTAATGGGCTGGGCACAGTACTTGAGTTCTTTTATCTTTCAGTCCCTCACTGGGATCTGAAGTAAGAATTACTACTCCTATTTCACACATAAGACAAATTGCTTAAGATCTCAAAAGGAGAGACTTTAAAGAAAGCCAGTAAATAATAGGGAACTAAACCAGGACTACAAACTAGGTGTGACTGACGGAAAGACCCAATGTCCCACTAGAAACCTTTAATAATTAAGAGATGAAAAAATATATATAGTATGAAATCATACAGCTACATAACATCCATGTCATTATTTTACATATTTTGGACTTTAGCTTTTGCCAATGGGCTATTTCTTTGCTTTTGTTTTTATTTGCTGTTGCCATTGTTGTTGGTGGTTGTGGCTATTGTGGTTGATTGAATGGTTAGTGGGTTAGGTAGAGGTACTTTCCATGAGATCTGAGCAGCAATGTCTCAAACTGTACCAACAGAAGGAGATAGGACCTTCTAGTTCCCATCCCAACTGTGGTCAAAAACTCAAGAGAATTTCAAGTGAAAAATTAATGTGTTTCTTTAGCATCTCATTGGTAAACAGTAGGGTCTGCTTTTGTGAGATTAGCAACAAGATGAAATGCTATATTTCAGGAAAATGATTCTAATAGTAGAAGTACTAAAGACTAGAAATGGAAAGGACTGGATTAAAAACTGTGCTGAGAATTGGATCTCAATAACTCACATCATCAGTTGATGGACCAATAAACAAATGGGGTCTAAGGATACATTGAAATGATTGAAAATTGAAAATGTTTGGAAATTGTGATGATCATTACACAACCATGTCATATACTAAAAAACAGTGAGTTGTACACTTAAGAGGGGGAATTTTGTGGTATGTGGGATTATATCTCAATAAAGCTGGTATTTAAAAAAAAAGAATAAGTGCATTGAGGGTAGTGATTCTAAAGTTAGAAAAACTAGTTAAGAAAGAGTTGCCTGTTCATACAGATGACATTGAGTGCCTCCCCTTATCAGTGATGTATCAGTAAAGCAATTCTAAAAACAAAGCAAACAAAAAAGTCAAACCCATGAAACAGGGAGTCATTTGAAAATTATTCCCCTTTCTATGAATGGTACCACTCATTTGCCCAAAAGGAGGTTAATTTTTTTTTCAGAAATATGCCCACCAAAGAGTAAAGTATTGTCAGCTTCTAACATGAAAAATAGGATTTTTTTTTTTTTGGTACAGTAAGCCCTTGTAATCCAATGGACAGTTTTGAGTATTTCAGAATGTCAATGATCAAATGTCAAATCGTGAAGTTCTCCAAATGTGTAGGGAAAATATCCTTTGCTCTGATGGCTTAGAGAAGAGTTAAGAGGACTATAGGGAAGTATCTATCTACCTGGGGAATTGCAGAGAGGAAAAAAATTAAGAAAACCAGAAAGGGTCCATTGCCAACTTTCCCATCCCTGGACTTTATTCAAAGTCCCTCTGTCCTGGGCAGAAAGAAGTGCATTAGATAAATAATAAAAATAATGGCAAAAAGACATAGGGGGCCATCAGGCCACATCCTTGTGGAAAACTCTGGTAACAGATCACCTTTCAAAGTCTCCTTTCAATTGCCTGCCATGACCAAGCAGAAGGACCCTCTAAAAGCCATCTATCCTGAACCATCTTTGATATCCTGTTTCATAAACAAGATCTGAAAGTAGCTGCTAGTCTGTAGAAAGGGGTGCAAATGGGGGCTACAGAGTTGAACATTGAAACAAGGGTGGATGGGGGTCACAGGAGGCTGAGTCTTCCTGAATGCACCTTCTTGGCTCTAAACAAGGCCACAGAGAAAGAGAAAAAACTGCCAATTACAATGTGCACATGTTAGCCATTAATGCCAGCAAGGAAAAAAGCACCAGGTAGAGCACAGCAACCCCCAGAGACACCTAGAAAAGGCAAAGAACATTACAGGTAAACTCTACCTTCCCTCTGTTATCAGGATGCTATGTCACATCCCCCTCTTCTAAAGCTGAATATCCTCTTAGGGAGAGTTTCTCTTACTATTGCTGTAAACCACCCCACACATAGTATAAAACAAAAGCCATCTTATTGTGTCTTGAGATTTTGGGGGTCAGGTACTTTGGCAGGGTATGGCAAATACAGAGTTTCTGCTCCACAACATCTAAGGGGGTTAGCTGTGAAGACTTGAAAGTTGGGGCAAATTGAGGGCTAGGTGCTGGAAACATCTCCTATTCCAACTGGTAGTTGATGTTGGCTGTCCACTGGGTTCTTGGCTGGGCTGTGGGATAGAACAACCATATATATGACCTTGCTTGAGCTTCCTTACAACATGGCAACTAAGTTCTGAGAATAAGCACCACAAAGTGAACCAGGAGGAAGGTGCACTTCTTCTTATTAGCCAGCTCCCAAATCCACAGAGCATCACTTCCAGGGGAGGTAATATAGACTCTGCCTCTCGGGGAAAAGAGCATCAAAATTACATTGTAAGATCAAATGGGATGGGAACACAAGTTGCAGCCATTTTTGAAAAACACACTTTTTTTCTTCTTTTCAGAGAGAAAAGTAGGATATATCAACATGCCTAGGTTTGATTATTTTCTGGGAAGACTCACAGTTGTGTATATATGCAATTGTACTCATGGCTATGCTTTATTACAGCAAAAGGATACAAAGAAAAATCAGCAAAGAGAAAAGGTACATGGGCAGAAGTCCAGTGGAAGCCAGGTGCAAACCTCCAAGAACACCTTCCCAGTGGAGTCTCAGGCAAATATAATTCCCCCAACACTGAATTGTAAAATGCTCTCTACTAGGGAAGCTCATTAGAAACTCGGTGCCCAACGTTTTTATTCGGGAATGGTCAGATAGGCATCCTCAGCCTGACATATCCCAAAATTTCAGACTCCCAGAAGTAAAACATGTTTGGCTAAACCATATCGTTTGCACAAATAGATTATACCCAGTGAACCATTCTACTCATGGAATTCTTATCCTGAAAGCCAAGTTTCTAGATGTCAGACAAGCCTTACAATCGGGCTTTTTAAAGGACAATAATCTCAGCTCTGCTATGTTAGCTCTTTACTGCACATAGGGGATGGGGAGAAGTGAGAATATTTTTTAAAAGAAATTAAACACTTCCATTGAGAAAGGTTTACTGTGGAAGAAAAGGAAGCATTACTTGGTGGAAAGAATTAAGTGTTTTCCTACTGCAGGTGGGTTGGAAGGAAGGCTAATTACATACTTCCTCTACATACATGAGTCGACAGAAGCAGGAAGTTGCTCAATGCCCTAATTTAATAGTTAAATCTTAGCTGTTCTGGGGGGGAAAAAAAGACTCAGGATATAATAGAGTCGGGGAAAGTATTTAGAAATTGTGTACAGAGACAGCTTTGTAAAATACTACACATTGGTGGCTGGCCCACTATTTGGTGCTACTCAGTTTTGGATTTCTGTCACAGTTTACTCAAAGTCAGGCAGGCATTTGCAAGCTTTTTCTGAACCCTTCAGATAGGAGATAGTAAATGCAAGAATTTGTCCAAGGTGGGCAATGGGTCAGAATTAGCACTCAAAGGTTTATGCAGAACCAGAGTGAAAGGCACATTTCACAGGAAGAACTTAGAGTACTTAGGTGACTAACTGGGGATGAAGAACCAAAGATGATTCACAACTTCAAATCTGGACGGCTGGGTGAGTTATCATGTTACTAAAAAGAAGAAAGAAAGACTTGGGGTGGGGGGGGGGTGCCGGAGGACTTCTTTCAGAGGGGGAGATGATGAGTCACATTTTAGACTTTTTTATTTTGAGATGACATCAGTACAAAATGTTTATTTGGAAGGTGGTGGTATGGGACAGATGGCCCAGGCCTGGAGAGAAGTCAGTGCCCCATGCCCAGCAGTAAACATTGGCAGGGAAAAAATAGAAAGAACATTATTGGTACTATGCATTATATTTGCATGTGGATTACATAATTGTACTCTATCAATTTTCCTAAGGTTGAATAATGTACCAGAGCTATGTGTCCTTGTTCTTAAGAAATCCACATTGGTCTATTTAGAGTAAAGTAGCATAAATATCTAGTCTTCTCTCACAGGGGAAACTGCTTAATATAGGAGCTCCTTGTGTAATTTTTGCAACATTCTTGTAAGTTTAAAATTATATAACAATAAAAAGTTGTAACC